AATAAAGTCCAGGAAGCCAGGTAAGAACATTTTAATTTGCAACAGAATTGATTTGGTGGGATTTGAGCAAAACCTCTGCCTGCATGGGCTTTAAGAAGGAGTGGTATATCCAATATGTTCATCATTGGAAAAAACATATTATTATTTGAGATCATATTGAAGAAAAAGGCTGAGTAATCCCAATACATTAATAACTATTTAAATGAAAAATGTTTCTCCTACAGCTTTGCATAGACAGATTAAATCAAATAGTTGGACAACAACAAGATGGCACTAACTTTATCCATACCCTGGGTACAGGGCTTTATTCCACACATTTATTGAAAACTGCCATCTTGATAGGGATGTATATGTATGGGGTGTTTTTGTTTTTGTTTTTTGGGAGGTTGCATATTTCACAATACAGAGTTCAGGATATGTAGGGGTCAGTGAATAATAAGTTTGGACTTACATTGAACAGTTGCAAAAATGTGCTAAACAAAGAGTCTGTCTTTAAAGGCTTTAGTTCACAATTTTCCATGTTTGTATGATTTTGTCATCTTTATACATATATTCCCATGTATAGGTATAATTAGAAAAATGAAATGTTTTGCCATTTGTTGAAATAACAAGGTGAATGAAATGTTTTGTTTTTGCCTTTTTATATTTTTTCTATAGGAAATCATTTTTCTCTGGTCATGCCTCCTTTTCCCTGTATACCATGCTTTATTTGGTGGTAAGTATAAGTTCTTTTTATCAATGATAAATCATGCATAATCTCACTCTTTATTAGGATGGTGAAGAAAAATGCACAGTCTGTTTACTCAGGGACAGAGAAAAATCACTAGTACAGAACTTATAGTAAATAGAGTAACAGCCTGAAATCATGCACGTTTACTCCCTCTGACTGCTCAGACATCCAGCCCTGACTGCATGTATCTCAAAGCCTCTTCCAATGTCTACATGCATAAGTGAATGAGTATTTGCAAAAATGTAGGAAATGGCTCATAAAGAGGGAAGCTGTTTCTTTCACCATGAAGAGACACAGCCACGAGAAGTCAGGTGGCTGCTTGCTCATGCTTTTGTATTACTCTTGTTTGAGGGTAACTTGTCTCTACAGGTTCATGCAGCTTCATACGAAATAGTTTAGACAAAATCATTAATAAGAGGTAGCTCTTGAAATGAGTTTGCATAACTGGTTGTTGCACAAAATGTCAACACAAGGTTACTTATTTCTAACACAGCAAATTATAGTGTTCTGCCTACCTCCAAAAGTGATGGACTCCTTGAGGCCTTAAAGTAGAGACTGGTGGTCATCTGCACAGCTGCTTTTGCTCTGCATTAACAGGGGGTAAACAAATTGGCCCCTGGAATCCCTTCCAATGCTTTAATTCTGTGATTATTTGAGTTAGGGGAAGTGATCTTCCTGTAATCTGATCCTGGTTAATTAATTAACCAGAATGCAGTTCTATAAATCTGAATTATAGATCACTGATTCTTGATAAATAAATAAATAAACTGATAAATAAATAAATTCTTGATAAATAAATTCTTGATAAATAAATAAATAAACTGATTCATTAATTGTCTGTAATGTTTTATTTTACAGTCAGTGTGTACAACCACAAGAAAGGCACAGTATGGGGTTGTTATGTCTAACATAACATAACCTGTGGTTAGCTGAGCAACAGAAAACCGTAAATCATGTTTAGTTCAGTGCAATAGCCTTCAGAACTTGCAGTGAGTGAGTTTTCTTTTACCATAATGTAAATTCTAGTTTTTGATCAAAATCAAATGAGGGGCTTACTTAAAGTTAGTGTTAAGTTTATGTGCAGTTCTTGTATTTTCTGGCTATAGTGCTAAAACCAGAGTGCCATACTACAGCTTTGCTGCATTGTTATTATGAGTGATCAGCAGGGGACATTTTTGTCCCTTCTTTGTTACATTGGACTGAAAAACGTAATCCAGTGACAAAAAGCATATGATATGTGGGCAGATTTTTTATCCCCAACCCTCTTTTTTGGTTAAAAATCCATTACAGTGATCCCTTTGATATCTGTTGAAGGTTATCTACCAAATATTGTGAATGCTGAAATCCCTTTTGTACATAATTCCATAGCACAATGGTGTCCCTTACATAAAATGGAAAAGTCAAGGTTTGCTTTTGAGGTCCATAGTGGAATACATGAATACAGCATCCATAGATAAGAAGGGCCAATTGCACATGATAAATGAGTGAAATTTAGGGGGAAATGTTTACAAATGCGCAAGTGACAAAGCAATAGAATGACTGCTGTGTGAATTATGATTGATTAAAATATTCCATTCTGGAGCATGAGGGTTAAATGTCTATTTCTTGCTCTAATCTCTGGATAATCTCTGTAGACTGTTTTTACATGTTGTACACCGCCGCGAGTCGCCCCAGGGCTGAGAGCGGCGGTCAACAAATGAAGTAAATAAATAAATAAATAAATAAAGCGAAAGCCTGAAAAGCAAAAGGAATGTAACCTGTTTCATTTCACCATCAAGCATAATTGAGATAATGTGAGCCAGCTTATCTAGTATTTATATATGGTGAGTCAAAGGGATAATTATGCACTTCATTAGGTTACCAAAAAGAAAATCTCCTTTCTGGGTAGCACTCCAGGAAACAGGGCAGGTGGACTTTCTTGCCCACATAGTTTCGCTCCAACGGTGAGGCTGGTCTTGTTTTTCTTTGTCAATGAAAAATGGCTCTGCCCTTCCTTTCCCCGGCTTGTTATGCCAGAGTGCTTCCTGACTGGAGCTGCTGGAAGTATGCTTGATAGAGCTTGTGAAAGGAACCCAGTACAGGTCAATTATGGGTGGAACTACCCTAAGCTTTATGGAAGGAAAAAAGTGAGATTTAGGGAGTGATTTGTGGTAAATGTAATTAAGGGAAAGCATTTTTTAAAAACCTTTGAGACTTTCAAAAGATCTGTGGGCCCCATATCTCCTGTAACTTTAGATATGAAATGAGGAGAGGGAACTGAGTGGGGTCAGGCTGAACTTATAAAAACATTACACATGAACTTACATCTATGAATAGGGCTTCTCCACCACAATTCCTTCTCTTTGCTGTCTGAAAAGATAAATTAAGACACAATTCCCTGCTGTTTTCCCCGCACCTTCCCCACTCCACTCTTTAAACTGGAAGCAGCCTCTGCAATTTAATTACTATACCTTTCAGACTGTTTGGTGGTCCATATGAATTTATTTCCTCATATTTTTCTCTCACTTTTCTTTACGTGTTTCAAAGTCATTCTGTAAACATTTACACCATTTCCTCTCAGCAATGCTAAAATAACATTACTGGTGAACTGGAGGGAAGGATATCCAACATGAAAGAGAAATCGTTCTTGGACTCCTTTTCCCCTTCCTTGAGAATTCATAGATGGAGAGTGTCTGGCTGGCCACTGGTTATAGCAGACCTCTAGAGTTTCTGAATAAATGGTTTGTTTTAGCAGTCATCACTTCCATTTGGCATGAAATGGTACCACCTTTTCCTTACCTACATGGTCCTTAGCTCCCCAAAACGTCCTTTTAACTGATATCAGTAGTTTGTTAATTGGTTTCTAGTAGAAATAATAGAAATAATATAATACATTTGGGCTGTGAGGGAAAATCAGTCTTTAGTGAGGTTTCGTGATTCGAATGGTCTTGAATGGTTCACTTCCAGGAATTTGTATTTCTGAGCCAATACCAAACATGTGAAGCATATGAAAGACTGTGGGAGCAAAATAATTGCTTAAAACATTCAACAGCAGGGTTCCATTTATTTATTTTATTTTATATGCTTCTCAAAATGGTTTAACAAAGGCTGAAAGCGAAATTTGCTAAAAATAGATAATAAAAAGTTAAACATAATTAAAGAAGCATCACACTAAAACACCATTGTATTTCAAAACAATGAAACTGTTTAAAAAATGTAACAATAAAGTTAAGAAATGCAGCATGCACAACCCATAAAATTAATTATTAAGAACCCCCTTTTTCAAAAAAGTCTTTCCCAGCAAAAGGAGAGCAAGGAGGGGACAACATACATTCTCATATAAAGGAATTGTACAGGCTAGGGGTGACTATTGAGGAAGCTTGTAACCAAATGCAACTGTGTTGGTGATGGAGCAAAGAGGAGGTCCTCTCTCAATAGTCTTAAGACTCAGGCAAGTTTCTTTTAAGAAATCAGATCTTTCATATAGTTTCAACCTACACTGTATAGGGCATTATGGGTCATTTTACCAGTACTTTGAGTTGTGTCCAGAAACAAAATGGTAGGAGATGAAGCTATTTCAACAAAGGAGTTGTTTGTTCCCTGTGACTGGCTTCAACCATTTAAAAACATTGTCCATTGTAGCATTCTCACTGAAGTTTCCAAACAGTGACTAAAGGCAGCCCCAACATTGAGTGCAGCAGAGTAATCCAAAAGAGATGTAATCAAGATATGTGACACTGTAGCTAGATCGGATTTCTCAGGAATAAGTGCAACTGGCACATTAGCCTTAACATCGCAAATGCACTCTGGTCAATGCAGAAACCTGGGCATCTGGCTCAGAATAGAGCCTAGGACAGTGGTTCTCAACCTGTGGGTCCCCAGATGTTTTGGCCTTCAACTCCCAGTAATCCTAACAGTTAGTAAACTACCTGGAATTTCTGGGAGTTGTAGGTCAAAACACCTGGGCACCCACAGGTTGAGAACCAGTAGTTTATATTTTATATATATAAACTACTGGTTCTCAACCTGTGGGTGCCCAGAAATATTTTATGGACTAAGGACTGGTTAATTATGGATGACGAATTCTGGACTGTGATTTTAGTGACGAGATACATGGTATTATTATTGGTGGCCCAATAATTTGTATTGTCTATGTGTTGTTGTTTTAAATTGTATATTGTTTTTAATTGTTGTAAACCGCAATGAGTCGCCGACTTAGGCTGAGATATTAGCGGTATACAAGTGTATTAAATAAATAAATAAATAAATAAATAAATAAATAAATGAGAATACTTAAGATGGGAGACTATTTACAAGGAGTGGAACCCCATCCTGGACAGGCTGAATCCCCATTTTTCCTTTCCACTGACTGTGGACATCTTTGTCTTGTCTGGCTTAAGTTTCATTTTGTTTGCCATCATATAATCCCATTACTGATGACAGGCACTGGTTCAGTACCAAGACAGCTTCTTTGGATTAGATGAGATGAAGTTGGGTGACTCCAGATCCAAAATTCCAGATCCTGTAGTGTTATATGAATGGTACACCTCACTCTGCATGACATAATTTTCACAAAAAGAAAAACAAAGCGGGATAAACAATTTGACCAGAATAGATGGTGACTTGGTTTCTAGATAGAGTAGTTTTGTCTGGGAGAAAATGAGATTGCCACCCGAAATGACTGGAAGATTTTGAAAGAGGTTGCTTTAATTTTGGGATGAACTGATGTTAGGTGGGATAGATTAGCTGTCTGGATACATTAGAAATTATTTGATTCCATCTTTGGAAACAACTGCTAATAAAGAGTTAAGGAGCCTCATAACTTTCACATAAGTCACCTTTGGCTTACATTATTCACTTCCAATTTTAAGTACATTTTTTTTAAAAAAATCCAACACCTAGCATGTTTAAACAAGTACATAATCTTTGTAAATGTGGGTACTGCCCTTACAGTTTTCATACCATTGGAAAGGTGTTGCTGTGCTTTTTCTCTCTGCTCTTCCAGCCCATCAAACAGACAACATTTGCTGGTTCTGAACTTGCAGTGAAGCAATTTACAGGTTCACTTGACCTGGGTGAGCATATCATTTAAAAAAATCGGCTCTACTACTTTCATCTGTTAAAATACCAGAAAATGCAAAGTGCTGACTGGGCCAAACACTCCCACAAAGTGCCAATTTTCCTCTGCTCTCATTTTACTTTAGGTGGAGGAAAGTTGTTGCTATTGAGCTTACTTTGCCTGCAGGGCTCTCCCTCTCACATTCTCACCCTGTAGGGAGTGGATCTTTCTGAAAATTGCCAGGGTTGCAGTTCTTGGTTGCTGCAAATTCAGCATTCTCTTCCCCTGACTGCTTGCCAAAGTCAGATTTTAATAAGAAAGACTCCATGATAAACTTGTGTCCTGTTTCCAGTTGAAACTTGAAAATCGAAACTCCATGTAATTTTTTTAAAAATGTATGTATTTATTTAATTTATATTATATCTTTCTCCCTGTACATGCTTGGTATGGATGTGCCAGTGACAGTTGGTTGCAGTGGGTGAAGTAGCCTCTGGAAGAGAGGATTGGGACATATGACCTTCCAGAAATGGTTGGTCTGCATCTTGCACCTGCCTTGCTAACTTAGCATCTAGTGAGGGATAGGATTGCCATGTCAGGATTATCCCAGTCTCTGGAATTTTCAGGCCAAACCTGAGACCTTGGGATGGCTCCTCGTGATGTCATAGTGGCATGGCCTGTTTGCTCACAACTTGTCATTCAAGCATACATGCAGAAAGAACATATTTCCTGGTTGGAAATAAAATTGGATGTGTAACCCTTGATTTAGTAAAACTTTACATAGTGCATTAAATTATACAGCCAGCTAGAAAGTTTTCTTTCTGACTTGCATACAACCTTACATCTCACCTTACATCTCACCTGGAGCTGACCTTAAGAAAACTGGAAAATTTGAACCCTGTCTATTGCCCAGAGGTGGGTAGTTTTTAAGTGCTATGCCAGGGATGCTTCTGGTGATACTTCTAAGCTATAAAAGAGGTGAAACTATTAATGTAAAGTAAAAAACAAACAAACATCAAAGTTCTTGCCGAATAATTAACTGTTAATGTCTCAGTGGTATGAGTTTTATAGTTTTATCAGATGTTCACAATGTTCTGTCAGAGAGCTCTGGTGCAACAACAAACTACAAATCCCAGGACTCCATAGTATGGAGTTATGGCATTTAATAGCACACTGTTGATATAATGCCCAATTATGATACTACTACGCCACTTTTTTCTTTCTCTTTTTGTCTTTCTGAATGAACATTGCCTAATATTGGGTAATATTTTGATTCCAAACTAAACAAGGCATTTCAGATGCTGCTAAAATACTGTAAGCTGGATATAGAGTTGAGTACAAACTCTTCCATATGCCTGCCAAATTTGAAGACGGTTGCTGAATTAATTTCTTATATAAATGTATTGATATTTAAACTATTAGGAAATAGCCTCCTGAGGTGGTCACCTTAAATGTTACTTCTTTGACTTCCTAGGATTGGAGCTATGCAAACTGTTAGCCAAATGAACAGTGTATTCATGCATGGGATGCCAAATAGCAAGCGTTTGACTCTATTTTATTGGGATCATGGCCAATCTGTTAGTCATTAGTTAAACATTAGTGACTGATTTCAAAGCACCAGACTCAACAAAGGGAAAAATTTCTGACTTCCCCTCCCTCATATGTTTTTATCCCATCTACTTGAATGAGCTCCCATTCATCTGAAAATAACTGTCAATATTCAACTAATTAAGAAAATATGAATCATTTTGGGAATCTCTTCCAAGTTTATAAAGTTTCTTATAGTTTTTTTGATTTACATCCTCACAACAGCTTTGAGATGTATGTTCTCACAATGGTTTTGTGCCAACCCTGCCAACTTAATTTGTTACCTAGGATTGTAATGTGGACTTTCAGAGACCATCTTGAAGACCACTGGCATTACACTACATTGATTTCTCTTAGGAGTTATATGTGATTGGCATCATCTCCCTGACCCTCTCTTTAAACTGATTCTCCAACCTTTATTGAAGAGTTATGCCATCATTCTCAACAAAACAAATTCAGATTATAAGGTAGCAAACACTGCTCTAATACAGCAATGTATCCAATACTTGTGATTTTAAAAACACACAACAACAGCTTTAATTGAAGCAATTTATACAAAAATAATTAATTTTAATTAATTATCCCTTAATAATTAATTCATTGATATAATTTATACAAAACATAGAACTTATATCAATACAAACATTCTCTCGGGACCAAAAAAGATTCCCCATTTCACAGATGCGGAAAATGTTATGCCTTTTCATTTTTGCTTGTAAGCAAGGATTCATATCTGTAATGAAAAGCTATGATAGTCTCTGTGCGTTTGCGTGTTCATGTGTGCGTGCAAACAATACACATGTGCTCACACTGTTCTTTGCTGCAACTGGCTTTAATTTCAGACTTTTGCAAGAGTTATTTAGGTGCTTAGCATTGCCACATGTTATTGCCACAATTTTATTTTTATAGGTAGTAAATGATGCAACAGGTAATACACAGTAGAGAAGCATTCCAGCCCTTCTGCTAGTAGAGCCCAACATCTCCTAACAGATAATATTACAAGCAATCCTCCAAACTATCCCTGGCCAGCCATCAAATTTCCCATTATTAGCTATACGTGGCCCTAAGACTTAAATGCCTCCCAATTGACCGAGACTGATGGAAGATGGATTTTTATACAATGTGGAAGCAAACAAGGAAAACCAAAGTTTGGTGATGTGTCTCATCTCCCTCTCCAGTATCTATGAAAACTGTGCAAGCAGGTTAACGGTAGAGGAAGAGTCATTCTCTGAGTATCTTTTCTGTTTTCATACATTTTTGCTACCTCAATCTGTCAAATAAATGCAAAATGTATCTCACAAGGTCACTGTTATGGATGACCCCTTTCATATTACTTTGTACAGAATGTTTGCCCATAGTGCAAACAACAACTTCAGAACCCATCAACCTTGTGGCAGGGACACAATGCACTACATCCATGGATCCAATAGGTAATTTTAGAACTCTTTCATAATACAGAATCCAGCATTGTGATTCCATAAGTAACATCCAATGAAATCCTATAGTTTCGATTTGGATAGAGACACTAGAAGAGCTCTGTCACGGAGATTTTTCTTTAAAAACAAAAACAAAAAAAACAACCCTCTCTAAACTGCAAATTTCAAAATTCCATAGGATAACAAAGTGGATCCTTAGTGCTATAACTATGTAGTATGAAAGGCCCCCTTTTAATATTGACTACTCCTGTCAACAGAATGAAAACTAGGGAAAGCTCTTACTGCAGCTTCCCATGTGCCTCAAAACCTACACCTCAGGCAGTGAAAAGAGCTGCCAAGGGAAGGAGAGGAGAAGAAAGTCCCACTTCAGCAGTAGGGTAACTTTGGATGAAGGCCATTCATATCTATATTTATATCTTTGTTTACCCACACGTGCACACACACATTTTGCTTTTTGCAAAAGGAAAAATGTGTGCAGCTTTAATACTTCTCTGCTGGTGCTGCATAACTTGCTGAAGAGGGAGGCATGTGCCTCCTCTTCCTTTGCCTAGAATCCCGGCTGACCACAGCTTCTTCCCTCTGACATCAGTGGAAGCCCCCTGGCAGTCGAAGCTTGGCCTGCTGCCGTCAGACCTGTGGTGATATATGAGAGATTTCCCAACAATTCCTACTTTGCGAGGTCACCTACCCGGTCACTGCATTCTTCCCTCCCTCTCTGGTTTTGTGGCACTTATCTTCTCTGTGCTATTGGGCACTGCTTTTTCCCATTGTTGCTCATTGGTCTGCAGCAGGAGTTGATCATTTTATGTTACTATATAAACACCACACAGGCGCCTCCGTAAACCTCCTATGACTGAGTTAGCAGACTTTAGGAAAAACCACTTGTAATTCACTCACTGTCTGCTACAAAAACAACTTCAACTCAGATGATTTTTTCTACATTAAATGTTTGTTTTGTTTAGCTTAGGTTCACTTTATAATGAAAGCCTTAGGATGTAAGGAGGGTAATATCAGTGTCCCAAATGGATCACAGCTGAGGCCCCAGGTTTTGTAGAGGAAGGGGGATTTTATTAAAAAGGACATATAAGTGTGTTAGTTAACCCTGCCTATCCTGGAAGAAGCCTTGTTAATCAAATATACAATTTCAAGGAGAATTGTTCCATTTGATGTAGCATCTAAAGGCTCATAGAATCATAGAAGTTGGAAGAAACCTCATGGGCCATCCATTCCACCCCCATGCCAAGAAGCAGGAAAATTGCATTCAAAGCACCCCTGACAGATGGCCATAGAATCATAGAAGTTGGAAGAGACCTCATGGGCCATCCATTCCACCCCCATGCCAAGAAGCAGGAAAATTGCATTCAAAGCACCCCTGACAGATGGCCATCCAGCCTCTGCTTAAAAGCCTCCAAAGAAGCTAACAGGATACATTTTAAGCAATAAACATGGATTTAATATAGAAAAAAAAGCCTCCAAAGAAGGACCCTTCACCACACCCCACTGCTGAACAGCTCTGATGTGCCTCTAGAGTTAAAAAAAAAAAAAGAATAAAATTGCACCCTATAACTCCTCTTCATTGTGCTGGTCAGTGACTGTAATAAAGTTTTGTGTTGTATTGTAACTCCGTGTGCCTGGGATTACGCCAAGAACTTCCTAGTCACAAAGGGCAAGTGCGATCACAAGGCTGAATTTGAGCCCCAGCATTGTAGTAATTAACTATTGGCAAAAACAATTAATTGCCTGTCATTTGTTCAGAAACCAGGAAAGTCTCACTGAATTTGAATGCACATGACTATTGTCTGTATAAGATCTGTTGATGTACTGTAATAGCTACACGCCCCCCTCCCACAACCATAAATGTTTTCTACATGGATTACACCCTGTAGACATTTTTTTTTGTACCATTCATTTGCTCCAGTCTGTGTCACGCCACCTAACACAGGAAGGCACCATTTGGGCAGAGGGCAGTCTGTCACACTTACGTTCTCCCACACCCAGCTTTTTGGGTTGGGTCAGTCTCCAGCGTCTTTGATTTGTGGATATATGTTTTATGCTTTTCCTGCAGCCTTTTCCCCTTCTGGCTTCCCCAGTTCCCACAGGAACCCAAGGAATAGGATGTGCCCAGCACTTTAGAGAGGAAACTAGATCAGGATAAGTTAGAAAAGGTGAGGCAGGGGACAATGCCCATTTGACATCACTTCAGCTATTTCATTTCAGTGCCATTCCTTAGTTGGTGGTTGATTTGTTTGCTTTTCTCTCTACACAGCTAAAGCTAAAAATATAATTACCTCCCCTCTGGATTTTACACCCAAAGCTCTTTCAAATTTAGTTCATGAAGCAGTTAGACAATACCAGAATTTAAGCTCATTTAGGAAAGATGTTGAATAATGTTGTGGCTGTATTTGGAGTACTGTTTGTGTTCAGATTGCCCCATCTCTGAATTGATTTTGTAGATTTGAGGTTTAAAATGCTGAAGTCTAAAGTTTTAAAAATGATATAAGAAAAAATCTTTCTGAAAGACAGTACAGTAGAGTCACTTATCCAATCTTCGCTTATCCAATGTTCTGTATTATCCAACACAGCCTGCCTCCTGTCCAGATCCACAATTGTTTCAATACATTGTGATGTTTTGATGCTAAATTTGTAAATACAGTGATTACTACATAACGGTTACCCTGTATTGAACTGCTTTTTCTGAAGATTTGTTATAAAACATGTTTTCGTGCTTAATTTGTAAAATCATAATGTAATTTGACATTTAATAGGCATTTCCTTAATCCCTCCTTATTATCCAACATTTTCGCTTATCTAACATTCTGCCAGCCTGTTTATGTTGGATAAGCGAGACTCTACTGTATTTCTCTCTACAAGCCTCACCAAGTTTTAAGATCTTTGGAAAAGTGATTTTGTTCAATCCTACCTCCATCACTTATATGCATGGTGAATACTTGGGAAAGAGTCTTTTGGTGACTGATTCCAGACTATGGAAATCAGTTTTAAGGGTGACTGAGTCAGCTGCTTTCTTTCTGTCAGAAAGCATTTTTAAAAATCTAAACAGCCCTTCACTTTTAACAGGTTAGGATAGTGTGAAAGGTATGCTGGTCCTTAACATAATAGGCTTTAATGTGTTCTTAACTCAAGGCAATCTTTTAAAGTGCATATTTGTTTAATGCTTTTAAATTCTGATTTTCTATTTATTTTATTATAAGATACAGTGTGATCCACTTTGCATCCCATGTGGGAAAAGTGGGATATAAATGGAAGAAAGAAAGGCAAAAGAAAAACAAGATAGAGTCTTATAAAATTATGAACAACATGGATAGAAAGGCCTCTCTGAAAATGGTGATGATAAAGGTGGGGGTGGTTATGTGATAAGAACTGAGGGTCATCCAATGAGGTTCATTACACTGAATAAAAATAAAAGGAAAAATAACGATAGATGATACATTTCTTAAGTATTTTCTGTTTTCATGTGACACAGAGAGAAACAAGCTATACTGTATGTCTAGTCTTCTCAAGCTAATTACAGGGTGCATGTACTCTCAAAAATACTGTTTGCAGTATTTTCTTTCTATACTAGCATAGGTGAACACAGAAGGTAGCTTGGTTTCCTATTGACTCTGAGAAAAAAAGTAGACAATCACAAGGTGGAACTTAAATGCATATCTCTCTGTGTTTGTACCCAGATATAGAATTATTACATCATCTGCCAAAGTTGGTATCCTTTGGAGGTCTTAGTAGATGATGTAGTCCAAAGGTGGGAAGCTATTTGAGGCTGGGAGCCACATTAACTCTCTTGAATATGTTAGAAGTATACCTCTCCATTGCATTTCTCTCCAGCCCACAATTTCCTTCCCTAAATGCCCTCAACACTTTCTGGGGATTTGGGGCAACAATTTATTTACAGCCATAGTTTCTATGGGGTCATTGCAATATACTTTTCTCAGCCTATCTCTCCACAAGCTAGAGATTGGTCATAAGGGTTGCAGTGTGTATTGATAAATTCAATGGGATTTTGGTCATTGTGGAAGAGAGTACCAACACCCATAAGGCTCTATACGCCATAATCAGGATGCTAATCATTGTTTCTTGTTTAATGAGAACTAGCTATGTGTAAACCTACTCAAAATTTGACATTCCTGTTGGTCTAGTATTGAGCTGGGATTATGTAACAGATCATGATGGTTGTCCATCATGCCTTATAATATCTTGTTTCCTCCTTCTTCTCTCTTTACAGCTGTATCTGCAAGCCAGGTTCACTTGGAGAGGAGCTCGACTGCTGCGTCCCCTGCTCCAGTTTACATTGATTATGATGGCATTTTACACAGGACTTTCTCGTGTGTCTGATCACAAACATCATCCAACAGATGTACTGGCAGGCTTCACACAAGGGGCCCTGGTGGCTTATTGCATAGTAAGTCACATATATTTCTGGTGTATTATTTCACCAAATAACATAAATATGTATCATATCTGCAAGACTTGTAATGCATGGGTGTTGGCTTCTGGTGGAGAGAGTGATAAGAGACTGACTGTTATAGTGGCTATGAAAAAACTAACAGGATCCAAAAATCTGAAACTGTACTCTGGAAGGTATGTGATACCTTTGGAAAATTGGTGTTTTTTACTGAACCCATCTCAGAACATCTAGGGGGAAGACTCAGTCAAAGAAGCCACAGCCCTGTGTTTGCAAGACCTTGATGACACCATGACTTGGAGGTCTCCCATTCATGGTGTCACCATGAGTCAAAGTTGATTTCATGGCAATTAATGACAAGAACAGCAAATTTCAAATAAGATGCAACTAGGGATGCAGGATATGACATCATTTTACCAGTCACTAGATAGAATCATGTTAGGGTTTGTAAAATCAAAAAGGGAATAAATAGTAGACCGAAGCAATAAGCAACTGTTAGATGGTTCTGTTTACTGCTCGAAACTAGAAATATCAATGCCTAGTGAATTCTAGCCTTCAGGTGCAATTTATACAGAATGAGACTCATGTGGAACAGCTGTTTTCTACATTTTCCTCTTAAGTATTAGGTTTGGTATGTTTAGTACATGAAAAGGAGCTGTCTTGAACATGTGCCAGACTGGGCATATTACCAATACAGCTCACCTAACCAAATATATAAATGATTATAGCAGTTCTTCCTTTGAAAAACTAAATACTTTCAAAGGCAGCTGAATATATATTTCATTCATTCATTTTGAACCATTCATTTATACTGTTCGCAAACCACTGTCAACATTTTCTGAGCAATGTAGTCTTTGATTTCATAGGCAAGGTTTGAAAACCTAAGCATTTTGAAGGAACATACAGAAATCTATGTTTCCCTTTAAGCTGAATCAAAATCTTAGTAACATGAAAAGAGGTTTCTGATTTTGATGGAAAGGCCAGAAGTACATCTCTCTGTATGGTTTATTGTACAACAGAGTGAAAAGTGTTCTTGGAAAAATGGCTTGCTCCAAGTATGATCACGTATCTGTTTCTAGCTGACCTGTTCTCATGTCATCCACTTTCCACAAGTGACCAGATTGTCAGTCCTTTTAACTTCACACAAACATACATACACCCCTTATATATAAGTTTCTCATGTAGGCAAAGTAGCCAGGCTTAATTAAATTAGGTTCTTCTTTCCTTTATTTTGTTGATCAGTAAAAAAAAATCATGTCTAAAACATTTCAAAAGCATCATGTGTTCCTTATGGATTTAAATGGCTTAGCTCTCAAGTATATGTTTAGGGTGTGGGTTTTTCCCCTGTGTGTTTATTTTTGCATTCTTCCAATGAATTGTTAGACAAATATTTACATGGTGAGATCTGCTGCAATAAACATTATACTGGCAATCAGGAAAAGATGAAGTTCATTCACTTTTCATCGTGTTTCTCCATGATGGGAATGTAACATTCACAACTGGCAAATGTGTTGTATATGCATATGAGCATTGCCATTTGAAGGTCAGATTTGATAAAATAAGTTTTTTAAAAATAGTGAACCAACTTTTCCTGCATAACCTAATACATGTCTACTCAGATGTTTAGAGAAGTTATTCCCAGGCAAATCCTACATTATGGTTAGCACCTCTGTTTGCTGATATCACAATATCTTTATACCAATCTGTGATACAACCTTACTTGGAATCATGTACAACATGGGACTTTTTCACACTATGCAAGTGTAGTACTATGATTCTACTTTTACTGATATGACTATATCATGAGATTTGTAGTTTGGTGAGGTGGTAGGAGTCTAAGAGTTTTTAAAAATATTTGAGTGGTGTCCCAGAACATTCAGAGTGGCATCATTGTCACGGTTGTGTCACAAATGGATATTAAACTGAATTTGTTTGATAGTCATACTGAAAATGGCCCATTTCTGCAGTGAATCCCCTTGGATGAACAGTCTCCTCTCTACATCATCAGTTCATAATACTGGCATGTATTGGGCATGTGTTAAAATTGGTTTTGCTTGTGCCACAATGTGTTTGGAATTCCTTTTACAAATTGTATGACTGTGTTTTTCTAGACAGTTTTCTGGTAATGTTATCACCCATTTTGGGGGTTCTGTAAATGAGAAATAGTATAGACATTTCCCATAACAATGAAAATGCACGTGTGTGTGTGTAGATGTAAGTGTGTGTGTTAGAGAGAGAGAGAGAGGCAGGGTATGTATGGAGCTAAATTCCAAATCATAAAAGCTTCACCTCTAAAATTCATGCGGAGGTTGTTTGAACTGAGTCTCACATTTTGAGGGAAGGGCTTAGAACTCCTGCCATACTTGCAGGCTGGCAATTTGGAGCATGGATCTCAAGCTAAAATTTGCAAAATAAAAATATGCAGTCCTGGAATCCCTGCTTTCCATGAAGTATCAGCATGAGAGAATAGCAAAGATTAGGCACATTCATATTGGGGTGAAAATTGTGTGGCCCGCAAGGAGTTCTTGAGTTACAACGTCCACCATCCCTCACCATTGGCTGTACTGGCCAATGGGAGTCATGGTGAGCAACAAAAAGAGTCCTGCACAGTTCTCACCCCTGATTTCTGTAGAAGAATTGCAGGGCAAGTATGTAATCTTTCCCACACGCATCAGTGCCCTTCCTCCTTCAGTACCAAATCTGAAGTCCAGTTAAAATCTGCTGTGAAGAAATAAGCATTTGGGGAAAGACAATCTCTTAGCAGGGACAAATTAAAGTACTCCTTCCCTTTTTTCTTGCTAGAAAATGATCCTTGTCCCATTCTGTATATCTCTTATAACCTGTTTGCTGCCACCCTTTCACTGAAACCCAGTGAGCATCTCTTGCCTGCATTTATTAGTAGCTGCAGTTAGTTCCCATGTTTCTATGTTTCTAGTTTACAAAATTCTCACAACAAGATTTGCTGAAATATTTAATGATTTTTATCACTTCTGTTGATGGTCGGAGACACCATGCATCCCTCATACTGAAATCTGGCGAAAATGTGAGATGGGGAAATCTGGGGGAAAAGAGATGGACGGATTCATCATTTCCTGTCTAATGATAACTTACAAATCTGGCACCTTTTATCCCCCTGACCTATAAACAGATGTGTGCTTTACTAGCCTAGAAGGGAGGTGAGAGTGCAGCAGTGACAGGGCTGACTTTCCTGTGACGAAGTAAGCGGCTGAGGAAGCAGCTGGTTGAACAACCCCAAACACATGCATGGCCCTTCCTCTTGAGCCCACCCTTTCTGCCTCTCTTTTGTATACTTCAGTCCTGAGCCAGGATACAGGGAGGGCATTGGTCATTCTTTACTCTGGCCTTTCAGAGCCCTTCTGAGCAAAGACAGGCATGGCCATAGCAGAGGAAGGTGAGAGAGGGGTGGCTTGTAATTTCCTATGACTTCCCTATGGTTTCCCATTCACAAGAACTATAACATTCAGCCATATCCTCAAGGCTGTATATAGCATTGTCATGAAGAAGTGGAAAAGTGCTAGAACATTTTTTCTCTGCACTTAAACATACACATATCACAGTTTATCGTTTTTTCATTTACAGTTTCCCCACCTAACAGGGAAAGAAACCAGCTTTATTTCATTACCTCCCAGCTGATGAAATACAATAGTCTTATTTTGTTAAGGCCCACTAAGAATTGCTAAAATATCTTTTAGACATTGTTTTAGTGGCTACTTCTACTTACCTTGCAATGAAATGTGGCAGGATAGGAATCTGTGAGCTTATATCTCTCCCCTATTAATCATCTTAATATTATGTCAGTTGTTTGCTAAAATGTTCAGCATTTAAAGAAAATCCTTTTTCTAAAAAAAGAAAAAAGATGTTGATCATCTGTAATGATTATGTAGTACACTTCTATTTGTCTGCTGATGAGTTTTCTTCATGGATGGAGAACACCTTCCACAGGAAAGGAATTAATCCAAGCAAAACC